TTTTACAGTTAAATAAAGTTTTTCATTCCAAATAATTTATATTAATTTAATTTAAATTCATTTACACCGTGTAGGAGAATTCTTGATATGCATATGAGTATGCTAAATTTGGGGAATTAAATATTTACATTTAATTTCATTTCTACTTTTGATTTCCATATGCATAGAAAGGATGAAACACGATGTCTGAACAGTTGGAGGGAGTGTGAAATAAGCTAATTCCACCTTTATTTCGCTATCTTTTCAATTGTTCATATTTAGGTAATTTTCTTTATAAGGCTTTAATTATCATTAATAGATTTTTATCACAATTTATGTATATCCACTACTATTGGCCATTGCTAGCAAAGCAATTTTTCCATACCGATCTGACTTTTACTATTTAATACTTGTAAAAAAAATTTCTAAACCTTTTAAAATTGAAAACAAAAATTAAATATTTCTTAAAAATTACGGATTCTTGATATGCATATGAGTATGCTAAATTTGGGGAATTAAATATTTACATTTAATTTCATTTCTACTTTTGATTTCCATATGCATAGAAAGGATGAAACACGATGTCTGAACAGTTGGAGGGAGTGTGAAATAAGCTAATTCCACCTTTATTTCGCTATCTTTTCAATTGTTCATATTTAGGTAATTTTCTTTATAAGGCTTTAATTATCATTAATAGATTTTTATCACATTTTATGTATATCCACTACTATTGGCCATTGCTAGCAAAGCAATTTTTCCATACCGATCTGACTTTTACTATTTAATACTTGTAAAAAAAATTTTTAAACCTTTTAAAATTGAAACCAAAAATTAAATATTTCTTAAAAATTACGAATTTGTAAATTGAAATTTATTTAAACTCCAAATAGTAATTACTTTACTATTTTTAGCTGTCTTAATTTAAATTGAAATACAAGAATTTTAATAGCAGTTTAAATTCTTTAATTATAATTATATATATATATATATATAATTAACCACAAAACAAGCAATATACTTCTTAACCAAAACACATCACAAGCCCTTAAAAATTCACCGCAATCATGCAACCGATTACATCATAATAGGGTTTCCTTAGCATTCAACTACTCAGGCTACCATAAACGAAACAACAACTTGGCGATAAATGAAACAACAACCTCGCGATAATAGAAGGGGTACCCATCTCTTTACTCTAACCCATTATTCAATTGAATTCTGATAATTCAAATTTCATGAGAATGCCCCCCCCAAAAAAAAGAATAAATTAGATTTTTAGACAATAGGATTTTAACTTTTGATAACTACTAAAATAATAACACATACATGTTTATAAAAATATGAAATATTATCAAAGTTTAAATTTTTTTACTTCCATATTAGCACAATCACTGTAATAAAAAGCTGCCAAATTTTCAGAATATGCTAAACTCTGGAAACCATGTGCTTAACAATTCTACGGTCCAGCTGAGCTATTGCTTTTGCATTTGTTTATATATTTCAACATTTTAACTATTTTTTGGTGATTATGATCATTCTGGTACTCAATGATGAGTTCATGCTATTCTCTGATATTTTTTTTTAGTTGAACACAGATCACTGTGCACATTGGAAGAACCCATGTACACAGCAGAACCTTATTTAATAATTAAAATTTGTGTTTTGAACTGCTAAAGTGTATTTTCATTTGATATGTTGATAATGTTTATCGACATATGATAAATATTGATAGGTTGGTAATCTTTTTTTTTTTTTTTTTTTTTTTTTTTTAAAGTCACTAGAATCACTTACTTGCTCGACAAGTAACTTTTACCAAATTGAATGATGACTTAGGCATCATTACTTTTTCTTCTGTAAAAAATGACCAAAGTGCGGCAAAGAGGTTGCCTTAATACATAAGTACCCAGTTTTTAATAAAAAATATATGTTCTCTTGAAATTTAGATGTAGTTGCTTAACTAAATACAGAACAGAAATGTAAGTATTTACAGTATATCTTGGCAAAAGTAATGCATGAAAAGGTTTGATACCTGAAGTTCTTTCAGAGTTAGACAACTTTCTGTAAAGCAGTTATTGAGGTTAATAATCTAAGACCAATATTTTTGAAGATTCTAAAAGATATTCAAGGTGTTATTAGACTCTTCTGCTTCTTTCACTGATATGTTTATCTAATCGTTAAGTAATTCTGTTTCATCTAAATAACATTGAACATTATTTTGATATCTGTAATCCCAAGAATTTTCCACTGTTCTGAAGCCATGTTTATTCATGTTCAATGGACTCGGTAGTTTGATTTTCTTCTTCATTATTATTTTTATTTAAACCTTGTTCTGAAGGAACATTTTAAAATTGTTTTCCTTCTGAGAGTTCTTCAAGTAAAGTCCATCATAGGGCATTCAGAGCATTGAAGATAAGATAAGATTCAAGTTCATGAAACATCTAAAAGTTTCCTAAGCAACTGCTGTCTTTGCTTAACTTTATAGTTCCAAATGATTGATCAAATGATTCCAACTTTGATGTTTTATTTGCAGGAAAAAATTTTATTATGAAAATGAGTACAGCTAAAAGTCGTTAATCCGGACTCGTCGGGATTCCGGATTATAGATCATCAGTTTAAATCGCGTAAGATGGCATGCAGAAATTCTAAAATTAAAAATATGAAACCGTAATTTATGAAATAAAGAACAATTATGATCTAAAGGGTATCAAATTACAACAAAAGCTTAATTTTTATGTTTACTTTATTAAACTTTCTTTCAATGTAAGTTGTTTAAGTTGCTTCTTTTATGTGATAATACTTTCTCTTTAATTCTATAAACAGAATAATTTTTTGTCAGTTCAAAGTTCCGCTGTTCAAGTCCCGTTAATTGCTGTGCTGAGAATACCGACTAACTTGTCAATCGAAATTTTTTCGTTTCACTAACCTCTCTGTCACCCTTCATGTCTTATCATTTTGCAGCAATTCCACTTTTGTTTGATGGGCATCGAAACATACTTCGATGCCCATCAACAAAACGATCCTTTGGGAGCTCCAGAATCTAAAATTCTATTGACATAATCGGAAGTTCAAGTTTACTTTTATGTATGCCTTACAGTCTGCAAAAAATAATAAGCCGGACCAATTCGAAAATTAAGGAACAACGCAATCATCAACATTAACTGATTAGATAATTAGATAATTTTAGTATACGTCGGTATACATAAACGCGCACGCAAAAACGTATTCTGCGCTTGCGCACACGCAAATGCGCAGTCGTAAGAGGTCTTACGCGCACGCGTAAACGCCTATGCGCAAGTGTCAACGCGGCGCATGCGCAGAAAGTTTTTAGCTTTGAGGTCCGGATTATAGATCATTCCGAATTATGGGTGTCCGGATTAACGACTTTTGACTGTATTACAGCTAATAAGAAGGAGAAATTTTTTTTTTCAGTGCCACATTTTTTTTCCAACTCTTTATTCATCATAGGAAATTATTTAATTTCAGTGGCATCATTGCTTCTTATCTCACTCAGTCATTAAAGGCAGACGCTTCCTGATGCTGCTCTAATTTGTTGTTAATGAAACAGTTATATACTATTTTCTTTTCTTTTCTTTTTTTTTTTTATCACCATAATACTCTTCTCCTATTGATACAGTTATTTTATCAGGCAAACATTAGTAAAATAACCTGGTTTCACTGACATTAAACCCATCATTTGGCTTATAACTCTGTAACATTGAAGGAAGATTTTGTAGCCACTTCTCACTAATTCTTTCATTATCTAGCACACTTTCATCATAAAACTTTCTAAAGGTGATCCAATGTGTGTGTGTTTTTAAAGTTTCTGAAGAATTTATTGGCATATGAGCTAGGTTCTTTGGTAAAATCCATGTCTTCTTGCTATAACATTGATTTACAAATTGGATCTCTGATCAAGTTACTGCTCAAAGCATTTCTGCACATGTGCTTCCAAATGTAGTTCGTATGTTGAAGGTCATAAAAATTCTCCACATGGAACTAATGGTCGATGCTTTCTTTATATGTTCTGAAAAGATGTTTTGCTTTTCTGCAAAACAAATAAGATTCACATGACTGTCATAAAACATGAGGACTGTGCCATCACAACTATATGAATAACAGAGGCATAGCTAGGGTTTTCAGCGCCCGGGGACAACTGAAGATTTTGCGCCCCTTTCTCTGTGCCAAGAACAGAAAGCATTTCATTCTAAAATTTCGTAACATGAATTTGGCGCCCCCTGAAAGCTGCGCCTGGGCACAGATGTCCCCCCCTTGCCCCACCCTAGCTACGCCACTGATGAATAAGTTACCATAAGGTGATGACTAAGGACAGACAAGCTTCTAATGCCTCTAATGATTACTCATTTTTTTCCATGAAAATGGGATACATATTATTCGTTGTGTTTACACAAGGATCAAAAGTTTTATATAGCAGAAGTTTCAAAGAAAATGCTTGATATAGCTATAAAAACACACTGATTTAATCCTGAAAAATGCAGGGAATAATTTTTTCTTAGTACATCAACAGATTCAACATTAAATGTTTCAAAACACCCATGTGTGACTGTACATATTATTCTGTTTTTAAAATTATTTTAATTGCTGGTGATGTGATTAAATTTTTAGTAATTGAATTATATTTATTTTGCGTCGTCCATAGCTTATTTAATTTACTTTTTGCACTATTGAACTACTGAGAAATTCTCACTGATTATATATAATACGACACTGAAACCACTTCCTAAAACCAGATGGCAGATTAGGAGTGAATGAATATACACATACCCTAATCAAGCTGAAAGAAAATTTTAAAAAAGACCATCAGACCATCTGCTTTACTGCGGTATACAGTCAGCTAAAAAAAAGTCACATATAAAGTATGAAAATTTAAAAAGTTATAAGTCCTTGTCAAAAGTTAACAAGGAGAATACCTTGTTTGCTAGCACTTATCAATCAATTCATTCAAATCTTTAGTTCACAAGCATGTCGTTAGATGGCACCACTTCTGACTTGTCTCGCATACTCGTCCATTTTTAATGTAAAGTTTTCTTATTATGAAAGTAATCCATTATTCCTCATATTCTCGATTAATGGATCACTTTATTTTTAGATTAAATACGGTAGCACTATTCAAAGAGCCTCAAAAGCTCTTCGTTCTAGATGTTATGCCCTAAGATACATGCTCGAAGATTCAGCTACCTGTTGCACCTTATGATGCAATCGCTTTCCACGAACGTGTGTGATAGCAGATTATCTTGATGTAGCAGAATACTGAATAGGATTTTAATTTTTTTTTAAACTTTTTAGTCCCCCCTTTTTTTCTTTTGTATTTTTATAGATTTTATATTCTTACTTAAGTGAAAGTTTCTTACTTAAGTGAAAGTCTTCCAGTTAGGTTGCCTTTCACAAGTGAGTATGATTGTGCTTATATGTTAACATTTGAGCTGACAATTAATTTAGTATTGTCTATTTACCTTTTTAATTTTTTTCATCGGCATATTTGAAGTCATGTTTACATTTACCGGGTTCTCTGCGGAAGTGCTTCCGATCTGTTTTATGTGTAAAATCTCTCATATAAGAATAAAAAGGAAAATCAATACCTGAGCTAGCTTATCTGACCCAGTGTGTAGTTTTAGACTATATATTGAGTTGGATAAGCTAGACATTAGACAGCATTTGAATTTAATTGTTTGTAACTGCAAATGGTGGTTTTTGTGTGTAGCACAAGTTATGCCTTTATGTTAAATTACGACTAAAATAAAATCTAAAAGGGTGATGGCTGATTATGACGTACACCTGAAAGGGCTGTTTTAAAATGTAATATAGTTTATCAACAAAGGGGCTGATTATGATGTTCACTCAAAAGGGCTCTTTTAAAATGTAATATAATTTATCTACAGAGAATATCAATAGAGATGGTCCAGGTGGAGTAGTAAAACATTTTATACCAGAATAGAAGAATATATGTTTAAGCTAACAGGGAAATGTTAAATATCTGTATATTTGAAAAATAAAAAATTTTTTAATACAGTTCTATAAAAATATTTAGTATTTTTAATTAGCTGTATGATAACATAATTGCATTTTTATTTAACTGAATCGGATTCAAAAGTAAAAAAATAATATTCTTAACCCACTAGCATGTGCACTGGGTCCAATGGATCCATGTGATTAAACAAACCTTTCTCAAAGCATGCCTGTTTTATGCAAATTGTTGAGGTCCAGTGTAGTTGTGTCGACCTTTTTATGTTTCCGAAGTTTTTTCACTGGGGCTGTGATTTGAAGTCTTGATTTTGATTGGATTGGGCCTTTTAAACCCAGTGCGCCTATTTGTATTACTATTAGATAGTTAATTTGTGATAGTATAGAACACATCAAACATATCTTGTAATTTATTTTATGTGGAGGGAATGTTGCAAAAATTATTACATTCATCAGCTGGTGAAGAATGTATTGAGGAAAATGAGGATGGACGTGATCCCCAATTTTTAGTTCTATGATACTAATTCTTAGAAACTGATAGTATAAATTTTGAAACTGACAGAGAGAATGACATAAATTGCTTTATTGGGAAAAAATTATCGAGACGATTAAAAAAAATTGCAGAGTTTCCCCAGCAAAAAAATACACAAAAATGTAAATGCACTGCGCCGAATGTAAAAAATATTTTTATTTGGAACACACAACACTTTGATCAAAGTGCTGCTAACATTTGTTGTTGCATTTTTTCTCAGTGTCTATTGTGCTAATAAAGAATCAATACAGACAATAAAGAAAGAACAAAGCCAGTAAAGAAATGACACCGAGATACGGTGTTTTTGTTTTCCTATGCTAATATATAATATGGTTTACTATTCCTTTAAGAAATTTAATTTTATATGTCAAAATATTTTATAGTAGATGCAGATGTTTTTTGCAATATCCAGTGGTCTCAACTTTTATTAAACTGTTAATAAAAATCAACATTCTCTAGATGATATTTTGGGTGATGGTATAAAATGATGGTTTCAAAAATATTTTTCAGAACTTTAGCTGAGCTGAATTTAGAAATGAAATAATTTTAATTGAATAAATAAAACTGGTTATTTTTCAGTTGGGAGTATGAGTAAGTCTACCAGTTATTGGTAGTATTTGGATACTATTGATGACAAGTTTTATCTTTTAGTATGGAAGCAAGCTATTGTATATCAATTATTACCAATTTCATAATTATTGCCAAATAAATATTTTGTCAAAAATATTTATTTGGCAATTTTATACACAACCATTTTTATATCTTCAAGCGAAAATTAAGCAAAAATGTCTTTCTTCATAAAACTAAATACAGTCAACTCCTAAATTAGCTAGACCATGTCTAAAAAAAGTTAAGTTTGTTTATCACAGAATGGTGTGTGTTACCTATTAAATATCATGTTCTTCACACTTAAACGGTAAAATACAATTCAATAGCAATATTAGAAAATATTTAAAAGAGCATACACGCTGGAGATAAAAAATGTGTTCCCCCCCCCCCCGTGCAGTGTTGCCATTGCTCGCTTTGATCATTTGAAATCATTGAGTTTCTTAATCAAAAATTCCTTAAAATGTTGCAAAATATGAAATTCATGATAAAACAAATTCCAAATTTGGTCTTCTAAATGCCCATATTTGGGTGGAGACCTACGTTATTCTTTAAATGTAATACAAGGCTCTAACAGAATTAATAGCCCTTTCAGACAAATTGTCCCCTTTGGGCTTAAAAAAACGTGCATGGATAATTGCAGTAATAGCAGATCAACCTTGGATCATCATCCCCCTCCCCAATCTTTTTCAAAACTAAAAAAATACATATATGTTTATTTAAATTTAGATTACTGTATTATGTGTTTTATAAATTAATTGAGTAGAAATGTGGAATATATAAATGCTAATTTATTTGTTAAATTACTAAATCATAAAACATTTTTTGCTTGCTAATCATGTACAGCTGTTAATCATCTTTCTCCCATTGGCTTCTATCAAAATACAAGGAACATGTAAACTAAAACATGCTATTTTTATTTAAAATACTGATTTAGTTTTACTTAATTAAATGAACTTATTTTCTAAATTGACTGTTAAAATGTAGGCAAATTATTAATTGTACATTTCTGTTATTATAACATGAGTTATTTCTCCCCCCTCTTTTTTTTTTTTTTAATTGCTATCAGATTAACCTTGATTTTGAGTTAAGAGTTTTATAAACATTATCCCCAGTATTACTTGGGTTAATCTGGAATCTGCTGTAATTATAAAAAAGAGGGCATTTAATTGAGGCGTGTATCACCTAGCTATTTTTAATGGTGTTGTTAAAAGAGTTACAAAATTTGCCTTCTGTATAAAATTTTAATATTGGATTTGAATATATATTTTGAATAATTTGTAAAATCATAAAAAGGAAGATGACTGAACTTTTGACATTTATTTCGCAATATAGTCCATTAATAATCCTATTTAATTCAACTAATTATCTTTTTTTATCTCAATATAATAACATGTTAATAATAAATCTTTTTTGAAGTATGTCATGTCAAAATTTAACTCTTATCATGGTTTTGTTAAACTGTTGTATTTAAATGTAATAACATGTTAATAATAAATCTTTTTGAACAATGTTATTTCAGAATTAAACTCTGTCATGATTCTTACATAATACTCATGACATACAGTGTCTCACAAAAATATTCGCACACTTTAAGAATTTGCAGAAAAAGCACTGTAACCTGGAACTGAATTTAAATATAAAGCCCAATATTTCTTCATACCATATCCATGTGATCTGGAATAAAATCAAACATTTTAATACTTACTGACTTAGTTTCTTTTTTTAAAATTGAAAATGTAAGGAGGCAAAGATAAAACACACCACGAAAGTGATCTTACACTGACCCATTTTTGTAAAATTTCATAAATAAAATAATCGTCTACCACTTCTTTTTTTATTATTTTTGCATTTTGGTTACATTTAAAAAAATTGTTTGACTTTATTTTTTGCTTGCTAATTTCATTATATTTTATTTAATGTTTGAAAATGTCTCGTAGTCATAAGGAAGCAACGAACAGCATTCGAAAATTGGTTATTTTTTATAATAAGAATGGAATTTCGATTTGGGATATTGTTAAATTAGTAAGTTTATCCCATTCTGTGGTGCAGTATGTGATAAAATGTTCTAAAAAAGAAAATCAGATCCAAAATAAAGAAGAGGTTGTCTAGCAAAGAGGATTCGAAGTGACTTTACGTGATCAGAGATTTATAGTTAGAAAATCTGTGAAAAGTCCATGTTTGAGTGTTGTAAAAATTTCTATGGAATTTACTGAAAAACATTCTACTTCAATTTCATTTAAAAATGTTCGACGAGTTCTAAGATGAGCTGAATTACATGGGCACTCTGCTCGAAAAAAATTTTTGGAAGGGCAAAAAATAGGAAGCTTAGGCTCTTTTTCTCAAAATCTATGGTAAATAAGCCAAATCATATTGGTATCATGTCATATTTCTAGATGAAAGCAAATTTAACATATTTGGTGCCAATGGGCATGTAATTGTATAGAGGGAGGGGAAAGAAACAGAAGAGCTTAATCCCAAGACTTTTTCTGGAACAATAAATCATGTTAGTGGGGGTGTTCTAATGTGAGAGTGCATGCCAGCATCAGGATTAAAAAATGGTTTAGTATTTATTGATGGCACAATGAACCATGCTGTTTATTAAATATTTTAAAGGATAATTTAAAATTATCTGCCCAAAATTTGGATCCTGGAAACAACTTTATTTTTTATCAGGTTAATGATCTTAAGCATATGGCCCTCAATGTTCACTGTTTGGGTGTCTGTAATTGTCCCTGAGTTCTGGACACACCACTTCAGTAATCAGATTTAAACACAACAGAATACATTTGGAGAGAATTAGAGGTTAGAGTTTGAAGACACAACATTAAAATAAAAACTGAACTGAAAACAGTGATGATGGAAGAATGGAGGAACTTTGATGCAGATATTAAAAAAAAAACTGGTTAACTCTATGCCCAGACATTTGAAAGCTGTTATAAATGCTGCAGGGTATACTATAAAATACTAACTGACAGATATAATATAATATTTACTAATATTTGCAAATTTCTTTAAAGTCTGCGAAGACTTTTATGAGGTAACTTTTCTGTTACTTTTTTATTATTGATTTTCAAAAAAAAGTTTTAATATGTTCATAAAATAATTAATGTAGTTTTGCTAAGAGGAATTTATAGATATTATTAAAAATTTTCATTCTGAGACATTAATTTTTATTAATGAATATATTTATATTTAAGTTATATAAAAAGTATAAAAAAGTATATAAAGTATATTTAAGTTATATAAAATATTATATAAAAAGTGTATGAACACTTTTGTGAGCCACTGTATGTATTTATATAATGTTTTTTCAGCCAGTAATAATATTAAAATTTGCATATTAAAAGCATAATTAATAAGACTAAAGTAAAATCATAACTATATTATTCTTAGCCTAGCCTTCATACTGGAAGCTATACATTCATCTCTTACGTGCTGCTTTGCTAACATGTTGCTGATTATCTTTTATATGTGAAATATATTGCTGTAAGGGTGTGAAAAACATGAAAGTAGTTAATTAAGAGTAAGTGCACCAATTAAACTGTATATTTTATGTTTAAAAATGTTTTGTGAGCAATAAAGTAAATGTTAAACCTCCCATGATTGCATCTTGTTCTTGTAATATGTGTGGCATCATCAAAAATGTTTTTCATTACATATTTATTTCTAACATTACACTTATAAAAAGTTTACAGAAACATAAAATTCTTCAAAAATATTTTTAGTCACTTTGTTTCCAAGACTAGAAAAAACTGATATATAAAATTATCCAGAATAGTATTGAATTTATTAGTTTCCTTTTGTAATGTAATCTTTGTTTTGTTTGTAATCTTTGTATTTAATTTTTCAAAAGGAAAAATATATTAAAATTACTTAAAACTTTGAATTTGTTTCTTAGGTATCTGAAAATGAGCCATAGTAATGGTGGAGAGCAAGCTGATAAGTTGCCTGATGTAACTGACAGTGTTAAGAATATTTCAAGCACAGAAGAACCTTTCAATATTTTGAAAGCTAAAGATTTGTAAGTTCTCTTCTTTATTTAATGAAAAAGTCAGTTTTGTTTATGTTATGTAAATTGTAGGTAAATAGTACATCATCCTATACAAAATATATCGTCTTTCATAAACTTTCAACTAAAATAATTTCTTGGTATTAGTAGTTTTTGCAAAATAAATACTTGAGTTCTATGAGAATAAGATTTCCAAGATCTTAAAGTGCTTGTGATAAATCAGGCATGTAATGCATTTAATTCCTTAGAAATAAATTTATTTTAAATCTTTTTGAAAGCACTTCTGTTTGAATGAAAGGCATTTCTTTAGACTTTACAATCAAAACTGTTGTTGGCTTTATTTACTAATTATTTAGAGATGAATGAAATTTCCTGTTTGCCCTGTTTACAGCTTTTATGCACCTAACATTCATTAGAACTGAATTACTAAGACTAGTTAAGATGATGAATTTTTTTATTTAAAAAATAATTAACTACAGCATTCTGTTTTTTCATAAATGCTACACTGTGTATATTCGCTAAACTGAAATTAGTATCATGTGTTAAGTATTTTATACAATATTTTTTTTGATTGGGGTAGGGGAACAGAAAATTACATTAACCTCAGCTTTTGATATTTTTACACAGTAAAATCAGTAGCTTATATTGTCATAGTTTTTTTTTTTAATTTGGAGCTAAACACATTTGTTGTTCTTTTAAATCACATTTCTAAATAACTGATAAATGTTAACTTACATTAACCACAAGCTCAATGCTTTTGCATTAACATTCTATAAGTAATAATGCATTCATAAAAGTGGGAAAGACCTACTGATAATAAAGAACTAGAATGAGATATTAAAAAAGTATTGTACTTATTCTGTAATAAGAGACTAGTGCTGATACAAGACAAATGAATACAGAATATACAGTGTGTTCATTTATAAATTTATAACAATTTATAAACTCTTTTTCACTTTCCTTTTTCTTCCAGACGGCCGCTAAACTAGCGCATGTTTTTTGTACTTCTGAGAATTCTGCTGGCGAAACATTCACAAGGATAGACCTTTTTTCTGAACTGATGACTGGAATTTCAGTAGATTCCTCAGTATTACTTGTTAACTTCCCTTCTTCCGAAAGCTCATTATTCACAACACTTTCACTTTCTATCTCTTTCTTCATTTTCCAATCTGGAATCTAAGTCTTCTTCGCTGTCTCTAAACTCCTGCGCGCATGCAACTGACTTGAGTTTTCACAGCATTCAAAAGAATCGGTATTTCCCTAATTTCCTCTATCAATTGTGCAATTTAATTTCCTAACAAATAGTACTCTTTATTTAACTCTACCAGAGTAACTGCTGCTTTTGTGGTGACCACCCCAAAATCACCTTCGATGGTGACTTTCGCCAAAGGTAAACATTGGCATTCTGGGTCCAAAAACTGTTTCAGCCAAACAGTTTCCCCTAATAAGTCACTAGTATTAATCCAAGTACTATTACACAGTCATTCAGCTCCAGTATCTCTCAGATACTCTCTTCTCTACCCATAATTACTGCTTTCTTGAAATATGGCTCAAAACACTCCCTAAACTCTTGTTCATAAATTATGACAGGTAGCTTTATTTCTTTCCAGTGATGGACAGTTAGGTCTTATATGCCCATCCTTTCCACATGGTAAACCATTTTCCGCGTTTCAAAGTGCGTCCTTGAAAGCTTGCTCTTTTTTAGAGCCTCTACTTTTCTATGCTCCTCTGATTAATTCTTTGAGACCATTACTTTTCTGATTTTAAACCACCACTGGAATTTGCATAGCGTCTAAACTTCTCAATGGTTTCTTAAACCCCTTTCTGTTCTAACCTCCTCGTATCTCTTCGCAAAGCCTCATACCTGTCGCATTTCTTTGCTAAAATAGAAACTGTTTTAAATTCTTCCCAATTGTCTAAGTAGTGCTTTCTTATTTCTAGAGGGATTCACTGCTTACTTTGCTCGGTGAGCATAAGTTCCTTAAGACTTTCAAAATTCTGAACTTCCACTGAATCCAGGCAGTTCTCTAAATAAACTCTCAATTCATACACTAAATCCACCCACAACATTCTTTTTTTTTTTTTCCTAGAATGTTCTTCAAATTTTGTTTTTAGAACCGAAGAACTGAGCTTGATTCTATGCATGAGTAATTTCTTAACATTCTGATAATCATCCCCTTTATCTGCTGGTTTTTTTACTATTAACTGAGCTACATCATGGGGTAATAAAAGAATTAATTACAAGACCCAGTTAATCTCTTTAACTTTCTCTTTTTGCACTTGTTTCTCAAATAGCATAAAGAATAATGAAATATCTATATTAATCGGTTCAAATCGTAGTACTAGATCTTTCAAATTAACCCTTTTTTCTCTAGGTTGTTCAATTGTCGAAACCATGTAAGCTAAGTTATTAGTCTCAACTACGATCATCAGTTTTAACTTCCCCAATTCAAAAACTCGCTTCCGTTCTCATTCTGCTCTCTCTTGTTCATGTTCCCGCTCTGCTTTCTCCCATTCACGTTCTTCTCTCTCTTGTTCCCGTTCTCGCTCTGCTCTCTCTTTTTTGGCTATTTCTTCTGCTTTTTTCTGTTCAGCCGCAGCCTAAATTCTTGCCACATATTCTTTCTCCGCTTCCTCTTCAAAGTCCTCAGCATTAAGAATAGCCTGCCTAATTTCTCTTACTTTATTTCCCTGAGACACATTTGTATCAAACTCTTCTGTTAACTCCAATAGCAGAGCTTTAGTAAATTTCCTCATAAACTCACCCATCGTGGAAAATTAAAGAAAAATAACCTACCCCAAAATTCAAAAACACAAAAACAACAGGTCAATTCCTCCAAAATTGAGTAATTCCTTAATAATTCTGAACGCAAATGTCCTTACAACACGTAATGATCTCTAATTCATCTATTCATACATACAAAACATAAATCACAAGTGCTAAATAAGATGCAAATTTTTTCTGCACTGTCTCAACTATACAACTATTATCCGCTAACACCGAACTGATATAAAACTAAATTCTTCTAAAGCATACCATTACAATACTTCAAACAATTTAAACAGTTACTAGAACAATAGAATAAACAGTTAAATTCCAATTAGCAAAGGTAACCACAAGAAAACTTTTGATCCCCAATAACAAAGCTATATCCAAAATGAACCTAGTCTCGAATAACTAGCATAACTTCTCCAAAATCACAAAAATGGTACTCACCAATTGAAGAATCGATGGCTCTTCTGGCAATAACATACTCCAACTCTCCAAAAAATTCCTATTTTGCGTCATAGATCACACTCCGGCATTTCTCGAGCACTATCACTTTCTGAAGAGGATTCACCACGTGAACTGTCCTTGCACACAAAATTAGATTGTTCTTGTCCAGAGAAGAAAGTCTTGACTGCTCACATAAAATCCTTTACAATACTGCCTTTTCTATAACTTCCATTCGATGATCCGGAACACTCACACAATGATATGCATGGAAAACAACGCATGATGTTAACTCCCAGGAACAATCCCACCGCTGCCACCAATTTTAATATTATTGCTGTGGTGTAGCGGCCGAAACCGCTACACAAATCCTGGGTTGTGACATAGGGTTGAAATGAACTTCTAACTTAAGTTTTAAGAATAACTTGAATTTAAATAAGATGAAAACCTTAACAGTTGTATATCTTGACAATCTGGGACTTGGATATATTTAGTCCCGTAATTTCAGAATTTTGTTACAGGAAAAATTCTCTAATGCATTACACACAAGGAATGATCGTTCTTAGCAAGCCAACATGCCCATAGCTCTAAACAGGCAAGTTTTTTCCTCTTCTCAGGAAACCACCTTACATATCTCCCTGTGTTTACTTGCACTGAACTCCCAGGGGGGAAACTTCCCTCACTCATACATAACAAAGTGTTCATCTTCTGACCCTGATCTTTTACTCTTTGTCCATTGGAGTGACCTTCGAGGCTGCAACCAGAATCATTAACAAAGGCACAGGATTTCACCATTGATATGAAAACTATTGCCCTCTGAGATCACTCACCCTCGACAAAGAACCTTTGTGCCACCTTATCACAATTCCGATCAAGAAAGAAATTTTACCTTGGCTATATTTAAAGAACTCTGTAAAGTGTTTGTAATTGACAAAATCCAAACCATGCCCTAACATCCATAATCAGATGGCGTTGTTGAGTAGTTTACTTGAACCATCCTTAAAGACCTCTCACTGATGGTTTCCAGAAATCAACAGGTCTGGGATCAGAAGTTGTATCTGTTCTTACTGGCCAATCACAGTGTTGTCCATGAAACTACCAGTTATTTCCCATCCCAGATGCTCTTCAGTGGGGACCTTCATCTGCCTTGTGATCTCTCGCTTGGTCATTCTCCAGACATGTCATTGCCTGAGGAGTACATTCGAGATCTCCAGGCACGGTTTGCACAGATGTGCACGAGAGCGAGTTAGCTTGGCAATGGAGAAGATGAAAACCTGAGACCATGAATTGATATGAAATATTTAATTTCAAATGGGACTTTAGAGTTTTCATTGCCAAAAAATTTCTTCCCTCGAAGAGTTAATTAAAATATAAAGGTAGGATAATTTGAGTTTAATTTTCCTCTCATTTAATGTTATTCGGTGATATTTTTTTGCAGGAGTAGATGGAGCTATAAGGAATTTTCCCAGGGCGCCAATGGCCATTTAATCTGCTTTGTCTCACGAATACTAAACTCACAAGAAAAAAAAGATGTAATGATTCTAAATTTAAATAGATTTGAAAGATAAAACTAAATTTAGTACTACATATATTAAACTCATCATCTTAATTCCATCATCATTAGCTTGCTGCAGATTCAAAACTAATGGATCTAACTCTTTATTCTATAGCATAAAAGAGGAGAATTTTCATATCCTGTGATGTGATGATTTTATAATGATGCTAGCACCTTTAAGCATGTCTGTGACTATTCATTTAAATCTTTACATGGGCATCTCAGAATCTCCATGAATTTGCATTCTTCATGGTATAAACTGAACTTTGTATGAGAACTGATTACCCTCTATCTCTTGGCAAACAACGGCCAACTTGCAAAAAAGGTGCTGGCATGTTTATGCAAGTTGGTTGTGCCGATTAGACCAGCCCCATCCTCACTTGTTCTTTTGTGTGTAATATTCTTTTATTTGTAATTTCATTACATCAACTATTAGATATCTCACGCAAGTAATTTGTAAGTTTCCAAATGCTAAAGATATGTTAATAATATTCATATGCAATTTAATTATTTTAGGACCATAATCTTGTAGTTATGCAAAACAATTCATTGGTCTAGAAATAGTTTCCATTTTTAATTAATTTAATTTATGCAAATAATGTTACACTTGTCTGTGTCACAATATTTAGAACCTGCCACTGTTTTCTAGAGCGCCAGTTCTGTAAGATTCTTTTCATAAAACATCTTTTGAAATCTTTTTTTTCTACTCCAATGTGTATTTTCTTTTTAGTTACATATAAATTTAGTTACAATGCTTTGTTCACCAATTTGAGTACATTCCTCAAATTTTCATGAAACATTATCACAAACTTTAAAATGGAATATCATGGTCAATTTTTATTTCATGGGAGTCAAACATTTTGTGTTTTATATTTTAGAATGATTGTAAATTTTTTTTATGTATAACTATAGAGAGACTAGAGCAGGCATGTGCAACTTCAATAGGTCTAAGAACCAGATTAGAAATTAGATATATTACGCAGGCTGGGAAAACTTTAGGATTTAATTTATTTGAAAATATAAAAAATGAACATATCCATTAGTTTTCTCTGTTACTTCATATAAACACCCAATTATAAAATCTATAAAAGTATAAAATACTAACTAATACAGTACAAAATCCGTAATCCGGATGTTCATTATCCGGAATGATCTATAATCCGGACCTCAAAGCCAGAAACTTTTTTTTTTGTATGCTTTACACATGCGCGTTTAATGTATAACGGACGGTATAGCTGGCGAAAATTATCTTTACTGATTCTAAGGCATTTAAGTTGAAGTGCAGATTGTGTGTTCTAATCTTTTAAGTCGACGGCTTATATTTTTTGCAGACTGTTAGGCAATTTTAAAAGTTCAGCTTGAACTTTGATTATATCAGAAAAGTTCCAATTCTGGAGCTGCCAAAGGAGTTTACCAAAGTGAAAGCATGTTTCAATGTCATCAAACAAAAGTGGAATTGCCTGCAAAAAATGGGTTAAAGGCATATCCGTCTCAAAAATTATGCGAGGAGTATGAAATTGGAAAGCAACTTATATGACATAAGGAAAAAAGAAAAAGAAACAATGCCCGACGACAAATGCCCAATCAATCAATCAAAGATGGCGAACTTAGTATGTTCTAATCCAGAAAAGAAATCCACTTCCATAGTGAAGAAAGCGCAGAGGGTATTGAAACGAAAAAATTTCGATTGCAAAGTTAGTCGTATCTCGCACAGCAATTACAGGACTTGAACAGTGGAACTTTGTATGACAAAGAAATTAATCTGTTTATAGAATTAAACGAGAAAGTTAGCACAAAAAACAAGCATTTAAACAACTTAAATTGAAAGAAATGTTTAATAAAATAAACAAATAATATAAGCTCTTTGTTTTGTAAATTTTTATACCTTTAGATCATAACTGCTATTTATTTCATAAATTACAGTTTCATATTTTTAATTGTATAATTTCCGCATGCCATCTTACCAGATTTAAATTGATGATCTTATAATCCGGAAAAACCCCTAATCCAGAATCGCCGACGAGTCCGGATTACGGACTTTGTACTGTAGTCATAAATAAAAAAACACTTTTTAATGCAATCATTATGACTTCATGGTTGTCTCAAGATGGTCAGTATTCAAAGATATTTAGGGCATTAAACTAGAAATTTGTTTTCCAGGTGCCCATCATAATCCACCCCTTTGTCTTGGATATCACTAACTTCATTCTTGAAAAATGTTGCTTTTATTTATAGATGTTTCAAAATAGCACTATATTTTTCTGGGCAGAAGTTGTTAGCTTTGAAAGCTTGTCGCATGGGAAATAGTTTTGGTAGAAGTTAATTAGTGTCATATCCTAGATTTTTGTCTTCAGAACAAGGTTCACTTGAAATTTGATTAATTCCGTTTGCAAAGGAAGTGGCACTATTTCTACATCAATATCAAATGGAAGAAAGGAAATTTACAAGTTTGTTTAATGGTTTTTAAAATCACTGAACTTAGTATCAAATTCTGGACTTGAAGATTCCAATTTCATCCCAAAACAAATTGCAATCAAAATCATTTCTGTGGTTTGCAAATGTGGCAAAAGGGAGATTAGTTATGTATCTTAATTGATTTTCCCAAAAGTTGTTTATCCTGAAATGATTTGATGTGCCCAGAGAGCTCATGAATCAACTATTCCTGAGTTTGTAACTTGAGTTCATTTAGATATGTTGTAATGTCAACAAGAAAGGCAAAGTTTCACTGTCAGGATTTGCTTTTTTGCTCTCGAATAGGTTTCCCTTTTATATCTCTGAAATGAGATGTCCCTTCTTTCAAATCAGAAAAATGCTTCAAGATCTTTCTCTTATTTGGCCAACACACTTTGCAATAAAATATGATATCTTCATGCTTAGAATGAACATTATCCAGAAATTCTTGAAATTGATGGTTTTTAGTGCTTCACAATTTTTTTGCAAACAGAAAGCTTTCATGAACAATGTTGTAGATCACATTGTAGCTACAGTATTGGTGGCATAACATGTATTGCACAGATATTCTCTTTTTCAAATTTTGTATCTTATCTATTCTCAGCTGACCGTTGTAGCTGCTGTAATTAACATGTTTTATATTTCAATGTCTTTTTAAATTGTATTCTTTCAAAACTGTTATAGTTTCAAATGTATCAAACAAAGAGCTTTTTCCTTTTGCATTGTAACAAATAATCACCAGAGCCACTTCTCTTGAAATATATGACTCACAACATCTACTTTTCTCTTCTTTGATGAAGCCTTAGTGTTAATTACAAATACATGAAAGTAAAATGCAAAATGTGGAAAATGGCAACTACATACAGCAGCAATGAGCGTGATCAAACTGATGGCAGCAGAAGAGTCAGATGAGCTACAAAACCATGATCACCAACCACTGGCAAAAGATAGAAGTTAAAGTGCAGTTCCTATGAAAATAAGAACAAGGTGAAAATAAGAATAAAAAGTTTAAAAATGGATAAAAACTGTGAAAAAAAGAATTATTTTAAAATTATTTATTACAACTACAAGTATTTGTTGTTCAAATTTAAATAGTTGACTGGCCAGATTCAAGATATTTGGAAATGTCATCATGGGCTGTAGAAAATCAGAATGTGAGCCATGTGTTACACATGCCTGGACTAGGGTGTCATATGAAAAATTAGATTTTGTAATTTTTGCAAAGTTGATTTTATAAATTTAAAAATGTCCAAATGTTAGTATTTGCCTGATTTAAAATATTTTTATAATTCAAAGTATATGATTACAACTTTTTTTTAAATTTCCAATGGCAGATTATGAATAGTTACAGTAAAAAAACAAGAACACAGAATACAGCAATACAATGAAAAAAAAAAAAAAAAAAAAAAAAAAACAGCTGTAACAAAGTCCATTAATCTAACATATCTCTTGCCTTCCAGTAACGCTCAGCGAGAAAAGTCTTGTACAGAGCAGGACAATGGGGTAGATGTGCGGCATCCATCACCTCTCCAGAGCTGCACAGACTGCATATCGGAGAAGGAACAATTTTGAATCTATGAAGGTGATGTTGTAGGCAATCATGTCTAGTGGCAAGGCGGAATTCAGCGACCGCTCTATGCCTTGGGCCCATTACAATTCGGGATAGCATTTTCCAAGATTATGAGAAACATGATGATAGAGATCTTCCTGACGTACTTGAAGATCTTTTTAATAAAATCCCTAACGTATGAAAGGCAAAGGATGATTAAATTCTGCATGATTTTTGCACCTTTTTGCCAAGAGTCAGCTTTCTTGTTACCTGGAATCCCGCAGTGGCAGGAACCCACAGAGGACTATAGTTCCAAGGAAGCCAGGTTTTTGTAGATAATGTTGACAATCCAATATGTCATGTGATATGGGATTTTTATCTGAAACGTACCAACAGAGCAGCTCGGAATCACTGAATACAGCTCTTGTGAATTTTTCCAGTGGTATGGTAGTTGGTACAGAGCTGTGTGAATCGCAGCAATTTCACCGCCAAACGCAGAACCTCAGCCCACAGAGATGTAGAAAGAGAACATTTCGGAGAAAACTCCGGCACCTGCATTAGGGCCATCAGACAGGAGGGATCCATCACTAATGATCTGAAGCCATTCTGGCTCAGAGTAAAAAATATTTAATACTTCGAAAGCGAGGGGTCTCAAAATAAAGGGATCCGTATTATGTTTGGTTACTTTTTGACCCAGGTCATGATTAATCCAGAAAGATTTGGATTTTGTAGTGGAACAAGTAATATGATATTAACTAATGGTAATATGATTTCAACTAATGGTAATATGATTACAACTAATGGTAAATTATGGTTTATTAAATTACGGTTTAAATAATAATGGTTACAACTAATTACAACAAGTAATGTGATTACAACTAATGATTGTAAAAATAAAAGCTACACAATTCATTTTATGGACATGCTATGTAATTAAGCTGCCATTTATATTTTTATAATATATTTTTATTTTCTGATATGCTGATCTATAAGTCTTTATTTTTGGTATTTGAAAATATGCATATTTGATGTTAGTTTTATAATATTCAACATTACTTCTTCATACTTCTAGAATTTGCTAAGATTGCTGATGGCATTTTGCCAAACTTATGCTTGGGGGGGGGTGTTCTTCATTGCCAGATATTTTGGAACAAATTATATTTTCTGATTTATTTAAAATTGTATATTAATTACATAGAAAATTATTGCCTTTGTTCTCTAGTTATTATTTTTATAGGAATCTAACAGAAAAAGAGCTGCCTTCTGGTTCTAGTGATAATGAATTTGAAAAGAGTGAATGCCTTATTTTCAACTATCAGGTGAGCTTAGGATGCTTTGATTACTTAATGTACTTCTGTTAACTCCTACATACTACCTAATTCTGTTGGTGGTTTTGTTTTTCTGATTTATTAATAAGAATAAAACTTTATAAGCATCTTCTCGATTATATTTTTAAAGTTTTATTTATCAAAACCTTTTGCTTTGCAAATCGCTATCCACACTTATTTTAATATTGCTTATCATAGCATAATTTCTTTTGTGAAGTGTAACCAAAACATTGGGCAATGCACAGTCATATGTTATAGATTATGAACAAATATTTTGTTTAACAAAATGCTTTTACCCTGTAGCTTGACAAACAATTCATTGGTAATATGATTCTTTTTTTTGCACTTAGCAAGTTTTCACAACTTTCATAATCTGTCAAGGCTTTCTTACAGTTGAGAGAGAAAGCAGAATTGCACTGTTTAACTTATTTTCCATTGGATGAATTTCTGTTGAATTAGAAACAGTTTACAAAGGGTTTGATTAGTTAAAAGCTTCATGACATTGATAGTTTGTTTCAGGTTTTTCTCCCAGAGAATGAACAGTTACCTGCATGGAATATGTATGAGTATCCATCTACATAATGAATGTAAGCTATTTTTTCTTAAAAATTCCTAGCTGGAAGCATGTTTTATTTGGCAGATAGACCTTACATCTTTTGCCTCAAATCAAACAAGTAATTAAAATTAGAGAGACATGGAATGGATTACACTTTGTTGTGTGACTATGAAAAGCTGGAAAGCATTCAAGACTGATAAACTTATGAAGAAATTAATTCTTTATTCTTTAATGTGTATTTTAGAATTTGACTGCTAGATATGTGTAATTTTTGTTGCTAATTCACTGGGACTTATAAAGCTCATGTTTTTATCATTAACAAAATGATAATGAATTTTTTCATTTGTCATATTCTTTTGTTATTTCTTCTTGTAGGTGCATTTGATGTAGTGAGTATCTGTTTTATCTTTCCATTGCATAACTATTGTTTTGGCACTTTTGTGTTAAAGCAGCTACCATGAAACAAAAATCATTAAGGGTAAAATATACTGTGTATTGGGGGGGGGCAACTCACTAAGCAGGAAACATACAACTTTTCAGATACCAAATTCCAACTTAAATGTATCTGATAGTTAGTTTGTTTATATTCTGTGCAAAAAGCAAGCTTGTTAAATCAGTAACAAATTAAGATAGAGTCATGAAAACAGCAATTGTATTAAATTATTTTAGCATTAAAAATGAAAAAA